TCGGGAAAATTACTCCTTGCCGCCTCTCCCCACCCTCTCTCTCTCTCTCTCTCTCTCTCTCTCTCTGACTCTCTGTTTCTAACCTCATTTTTTTCTTTATCTGCCTCTCTTTTGTTGTCTACTCTTTACGCACGACAGTCACTCCATCTGTCTATTGAACTGTCTATCGATTTTCTTGCCTGCATGCCCATCTATTTGTCTATACGTCTGTCTTGGTGGTATATGGATGATGAGATGACAACAGGTTGAGGATCACGGAGTGAATACCACAGGGTGATGGCCATTGGGGGAGGACATTACAGCAAGGTGATGATTATTATATAATGAAATGACCACAAAGTAATGATCAATGAGTGATAAAATTACTACAGGGTTATTAATTAATTACCACAATTCCCAGATTGTAAGGTAAACGGGGTGATGAAATGACCACTGAAAGGTGAAGTGATCACCAGGCATCGGTCACAGAGTGATGAAATGACCACAAGACATCGGTCACAGAGTGATGAAATGATCACAAGACATCGGTCACAGAGTGGTGAAATGATCACAAGACATCGGTCACAGAGTGGTGAAATGACCACAGGGTTATTAATTGATGATCACAGGGTAATCCCTAGATTGTAAGGCAAACGGGGTGATGAGATGACCACTGAGTGATGAGATGACCATTGAGTGATGAGATGACCACTTAGTGATGAGATGACCACTGAGTGATGAAGTGACCACTGAGTGATGAGATGACCACAACCTCAATCAAGTTCAGCAGCGGCAGACCGCTGTCCCACACCTTCTCACACCTCCCCCACCTCCCCCACCTCGTTCTCATCTAGCAGGGCAGCATAGGTCAGGTTGCAGGGTGTGCCCAGGTCCCAGTGTCTGACGGCATAAGCCAGGCATACGCCGCTGGCCAGGGCAAGGAGAGCGCAGGTGAGAGCCATGTACCAGCTGGGACCCACGGAACCCATGTGCTCTGGGTCAAGGCCAAGTTTGAATTGGATGATGGCGGCCGTCATTACAATACCTGAAGAGGGAGGGGGGGGGTTATCGTTTAGAGAAAAATGGGGTGTGTGGACGCAATGAGACAGAGGGGTGGAGGAGGGAGGGAGGAGGGAGGGTTATCGTTTAGAGTAAAAGGCGGTGTGTGGACACAATGAGACAGAGGGGTGGAGGAGGGAGGG